CAAAAGGACCCCAAAACCTTTTTGGTTACTTCTCTTGAAACTTAAAACAGCAACAATTTTTATAATTACCAGTGGCAATAAAGGAGAATCCTCTAACAACACATGGTTCACAATATGGTTTTAAATATTTGACACTGGTATTAAAGAGTTGTACATGTTCCCTTGTCAGAGGGATAGTAAATTCCTCCTACCTTCTGAGAATTTGCTGTACTTAATTCCTTGAGGATGGATGCTTACGGGCTTGTCTGCCTTATTCTTAAAGTGAATTTTCATGGTGTCTCCAACTTCAGCATATAAAGTGGGCCCAAGAAGTCCTGTAAAAACAAGGATTTAAACTGCATCTGTATTCAGAATCATCAAAGGCAGAGCTGTGAAGCAGAAAAAAAAAAACCATACAACATCAAAAGTGATCGCTGCCGTTACTTCTGGTCCAGGGTTGACTTGTTTATCTTCAATCTGGAAGGTTTTCCTGGCTATTAACTCTATGTCATGTGTATTCAGATAAAAACAAGATGAGAAACACTTGGCCTGGGCCCAGTAGAACTCAAGAGAGTTGGAGAAATAATTCTGACTCTGTCTAACCTGCTCCGACCCACTCTCTTTTATTAGAGACTGCTTTCTTCGGTTAAGAAGACAAAGAGCATTTTTAATAAGAGGGTGTTTATGTTTTGCCATTCGTATGAGTGTGTAGGTGGTTATATATTGATTTCATAGTAGTACTGAGTACATTGGATACTTTTTTTCCCCATTCTTGAGATACTTTACTAAGAAGAATATGTTCCAGCTCCATCCAGGTAAACATAAAAGATGTGAAATCTTCATTTTTTTTTTTTTTATGGAAACATATCTATAGTCCAGAAAGTAGAAGGGAAGAGGAGAGAGAGGGGAGGGGAGGAGGGATGTGGAGGAGGGAGGGTATTTGGGGGGACCTCACCTAATGTGCATGATGCAATGGTATGTTTCAAAACTATTAAGAAATGAGTATAATTGTGATGGATGTGTTCCTTAGTTCAATGTAAGAATTTCACATTGTATATCGAAGCAGTACCCTGAATCCCATACCTGCACCAATGTACAAAGTTATGATTTAATAAAAAATAATTTTAAAAAATAGAGGGTGATGTAAAGGAGTGGTGACTTTAGACTTCCCTAAGGTGGAAGAGTTAAGGGAGGGGGCAAATCACACAGCTCTCTGTTCCAGAGCAAGTTAAAAGTCACTGTGGCAGGAGTGGGCTTGAGTCACCTAAGGAACAGTCAGATAAACAGCCTGGGAAGAGAGAGGAGATGAGTGGGTGGTGAGGGCAGAGAGCCTGTGAGGCCCTGTGGGCCACAGTGAGAACTGGGATGTTCTTCTAAGTGAAATGGGAAATCACTGGAGTTTTGGGCAGCAGAAGTGTAGTCTGCCATGTATTAAAAATATGTTCCAAAGGTGTAGCTGCTGTGTTGAGAGCAGTTTGTGTAGTGACAGGAGTGGAAGCAGAGAGATGAGGCAGTACAGGAAAGAGACAGCTGTGTACTGGGCCAGCTCGTGTAGCTGGGACGTGGTGAGATTCAGGACATTTCTGTGGGTAAAGCCAACAGGGTTTGCTGATGGATGGGATGTGGCTTGTCTGAGAAGTTAAGGATGACCCCAAGGTTCTGATCTGAACAACTGGGTAAAGGATGGCTACCAGTTACTACCATGGGGGACACAGTAGGGACGGCAGGTTAGGGGTGCAGAAATCAAGAGTGAGATTTCACTCACATTTCAGGAGCTGTGTTAAATTCTGGGGCTCTGTGGATAAACAAGACACAGCCCTTGTCTAGAAGGAGTTCACAAGCTCGTTTGGAGATAGATGTATGAGAGAAGCTACTGCTGAGATACAGGCAAAATACTGCAGAGGCGGAGAGGATGAAGGATGGATCCTGTGGAAGGATGGGTATCTGAGCCAGAGTTTGAGGCATCATATATATATAACTGGACCTCTGCATCCATGCATTCAACCATCTCCAGATTAAAAATATTTTTTAAAAAACCAGCAGAAATAACAATACACCAATAAATAACAATACAAATAAAAATATAGTATAATAGGCATTTATGTACCATTTACATTGGGTTAGGCATTATAAGTAATCTAGAGATAAAGTATACAGGAGGATGCACACAGGTTATATGCAAATGCTGTGCCATTTTGCATAAAGGAGTTATACAAAATGCAAATCCTTGAATTTTGGTGTCTTGGGTGGTCCTAGAGCCAACACTCTGTGGATACCAGAGGATGACTGCACTAGGTGTAGTCCTTGGAGTCTCTGCGTTAGCATCACCTGGGGTCTTCCTAAAAGGCAGATGCTCAAGTACCACCTCAGACTCCATGAATCTGAATCTCTGGAGGTGATGTTTGGGAATCTGCATTCTAACACATGCTCCCTGGTGATCCTAATGTGCTTTAAAGCTTGGGAATAAGAGCCCCGTTTCAGACAAGTGACAAGGGTCACCTGCTCTGTCTTCCAAGCTCTCCAGGAGCTCTCTGGGCTTGGTGCTGCCCGTCACAACTCATAGAAGCAGGAGAGTGAAGTCACAGCAGTCATAGAGTTCAATAAGAATTTATTTACCGTGTTTGTTTGGTTATTTATTATCCCCTTCACTACATTTAAGCACTGCAAGCCCTTACATCAATCCTCACGACAAGGCTTTAGGGAAGATCCTTGTTCTATAGAGGAGGAAACTGAACCTTAGAGAGCCTAAATATCTTGCCTAATATCACACCCCTAATAAGAGGCAGGATCATGATGTAAATTTAAATCTGTCTGATGCTAGATGCCAAGTTAGACAAGCTCTGAATACTGCATCCCCTGTATTCATTCATTCATTCAACAAACCTTGAGCACCCACATTATTGTAGGCATCAGAATTGATATGGTGCATAAAAGCGTAAAAGACCCACCTTCCCTTTCTTCATATAAAATTAGAAAAATGTTATAAGTTTTATAACTATCAGTCTATAGTAAGAAAGACATGTCTTTAACAAATGATCCATAAATATTTAATTACAAACTGTGGCAAGTATTATGAAAGAAAAGGATAGGGAAATCTGAAGAGTATCTGACAGAATAGATTAGTCCAATCTTGGAGGTCAGGAGGGGGTCAGAGTTGGAAAATGTTTTCCTGAAGGAACTGATGCCTTAACTGAAGTTCAAAGCAAAGAAGCAAAGGGCTGGGCAAGGATATGGGATTGGTACGTGCAAAGGCCCTGAGGTGGTATAAAACTTGGCCTTTTCAGAGAACTGACAGATGGCCTTGGGGATCTCTTAGTAGGTAAGAGGGAGAGGCAGGAACTTCAGGTGAAGCTGAAGGCACCAGCAGAGGTTCATCATGGAGGGCTGTGTGATGCTCTTAGAGTCCTGCCATTACCTTGGGAGCCTCCGGAGGCCATTAAAGAGTTTTCATCAGGGGGTTGGCACTTGTAGCTTAGCAGCCAGGGTGCCAGCCACATGCTGGTGGGTTCAAATCCAGCCCAGGCCTGCCAAACAATAATGACAACTACAACCAAAAAAATAGCCAAGCATTGTCACAGGTACCTGTGCTCCCAGCTACTTGGGAGGCTGAGGCAAGAGAATCACTTGAGCCCAACAGTTTGAAGTTGCTGTGAGCTGTGATGCCACGGCACTCTGCTGAGGGTGACATAGTGAGACTGTCTCAACAACAACAAAAAAAAAACAGAGTTTTCATCAGGGGTGCAAAATGGTCTGGATTTTGGGTTTGAAATCTTGTAGAGTAGAGGGCGAGAGAGCAGTGAGGCTCCAGGAGAGAAATGTCGGCGCCTATGATTAAGGTTGTCGTGGAGCTGAGGAGGAAAGAACACCGGGGAGATCTGCTTAGGAGATCAAATAGTCAGGGCCTAGGGATGGACTGAATACGAGGTGGAGATGAGGGAGATTAGTTGCCATGGATGGCCAATGAAGTTCTGCTTTAGGGAGCTGGGTGGATGAGGGCACCTGGTCTGAGATGGAGGATGTTGTGGGGGAGGGAGTTTTAGGGGTGTGGTAGGCAGAACAATGGCCTCCCCCCACAGAAAGGCCCATGTCCTGATTCCTGGGACCTGTGAATATGTTGCCTTACGTGGTGAAATGGATTCTGCAGGCATGATTAAATTGAGGATCTGAGCAGAAGAGATTTCCCTGGGGTATTCAGTGGGCCCAATGGAACTACAAAAGGGATGTGAGAGAATCTGAGTCAGAAAGAGACTGGAAGTGCTTCTCTGGGGCCTTCGAAGATGGAGGAAGGGGGCATGGGCCACAAATGCTTCTAGGAATTGCAAAAGGCAAGGAAATGATTCTCCCCTAGAACCTCTAAAAGGAGCTCTGGCAACTTCTTGAGAGTGAAACCCACTTTGGATTTGTGACCTCCAGACGTGTAAGTGAAGAATAAATTTGCATTGTTTTAAGCCACAAAGTTTGTGGCCATTGTTTATAGAAGCAATGGTAGACAATGACTCTGGGACGGAAGGGTCCTATCTTTCCCTGCGACTATCTTCCCACCCCCAGTTGTCCTGCTCCCTTCCTTGAAATCCCCAGTCCTGGGGTTTATCCTGTTCTTGTGCCTGAAACTTGGTTTTCACATTAGCTCTGCCTAGGACTGCAGAGATCAGACAGTTCAAGCTCCATTTTAGCAACAGTTAACAAAGTCTGGGAAGTGGGGAGGGACAACAAGGACAGCTTGCCCAAGGTCTTCAGCGATTCAGTACAATTTCTGGGACCAGAACTTAGAGCTCTGGACTCCTGAGCCAAAGCTTTCTCTGTACCTTGCCCAGAGGAGAATCAGAACCCAACCTCCTTTCTAGAACAGTCCGGATGTCTATACCTTTTCTGGCTCCTGACATGGGTCTGGCTGACCCTGTCTCTTCTAGCTGCTACCCTCAGTCTTGGCTCTGGATGGAAACCCCCCTCTCACTTGCCCAGGCCACCAGTGAGCCCAACGGGGTGCTGTCTACGCTGTCACATTGTGTGCTGCATTTAGTTGCCATGGTTTCCCTGCTTGGTTGATTTGTTTGTTGGTATCACGTGGCTGTAAATGCCAGATGCCTAGGATAAGTCTCTTAAGTTACTTAACCTAATAAGACCTCTTACTTCAAGGGAGAGTTTGGAGTATTTATTCAACCTCCCTTCATGCTTCTTCAGAATTCAGACAAAACAGAAAGATGTTTTCATAAATGTGAACCAAATACCTTCGTGCATGTGGACAAACACACAGCTACATGTTTTCTGAGTTGCTCTTTAGCTCCTCCATCCGCGGGATGGCCCGAGACCTCTCCCACCATCTCCTCAGTGCCCA